GGGGAGGGATGGGCAGGGCAGGGCAGGGCAGGGCAGGGCAAGGCAAGGCAGGGCAGGGCAGGGCAGGGCAGGTGCTGCGCTCCCGCAGAGCGGGCGGGCGGGGCGCGGTGCCGTCCCCGCCCCGCGGCGCTGCCGCCGCCGCCGCCGCGGCCGCCGGGGCGCTCCGCTCAGCCCCGCCGCGCTATAAGTGCGGGCGCGGGGCGCGGCGGCCGCCGAAGATGCGCCGGCAGCCGGGGCTGAGCGGCGCCTGGCCGCGGCCGCCCCGCGCCGGGGAGCGGGAGCAGCGGCAGAAGGAGGGAGAAGAGGAAGGGGGAGACGGCGGTGGCGCGGGGCGGCCGCGGCCATGAGCTGCTCGGACGTGGCCATGCAGCAGCCCGCCCCGGCGGCGTGCGGGGCGCCCCGCTATGCGGCCGCGCCCGGCTGCGCGCAGGTGAGCCGCGGGGAGGGCAGGGCGAGGGGCCGCGCTGCGGAGGGCTGGGAGGTGCGGGGGCTTTTTGGGGAGCCTCCCCGCCTCGGCGGGAGCATGGCGCATCGCTGGGTGCCCTGGGCGGAGACCTCCGCCCCGGCCAGCCAGCGATGCGCTCCGCAGCCCCCGGCCTGATTTGGAGATGCGGGGAGCTGCGGAGGGTGCCCCGGAGCAACGGAGCCTGGTAAGCGCCTTTCTGACAAGAAGAAATTATTTTTTTCCCCCAGATTCTTGCATCTGGCGGAATGTTGGCTCGCTCAGCTGGCGCGGGGCAGGAGGAAAAAGTTATTTCCTTGCTGCTGTCCCCCTTCTGTCGGCCGTGCTCGCTGGCTCGCCCCGCTCGCCCCGAGCCTGCGGTCCGCGGGAGCGCACACGGGCGGAACGGGACCCGCGCCGCTCACCCCGGCGCTCCTGCAAGATCGTCTGCGGCGAGTTTCCAGCTGAATTTGGTGATTAGATATATTTTTTTTCCCTCCTTTTTTTTATTTTTTTTATTTATTTTTTATTTTTTTTTTTTAAGTGAATCAGGAAATTCTTATCGGGCTGACAGCATTTTTAGACTATGCAGTGCGTGGGTGAAGTGGGACTAATATTGACTTGGCCCTAATGTAGTCATCTGAGAATACATTTTTTGGTTGTTGCTGCATTCCATAAGGTTTTATCATTATTATCCATGAAGATTGTTTTCTCCGTACATGGGAAGTGACCCCTAGTATCAACTTGCCTGGGAGACACGAGTATGGGCTAAAACATTAAAATTCCTATCGTGTACTGCTGATTTTTTCCTTTATTGAGACAGAGAGCTCGTTTACAGTAACGATATCCCAGTGAACTTGTCCAGGTTGCTCATGTTGTTCACTCTGAACGCGAGCTCTGGAAAACTTGTGAGTTCTGTCTCTTGCAGAGTGCCTTTGCTGTTACTTCTTTGCTAATCTGGGTCAGATCTAGCAGAAGCTTCTGTCTGTGCAGTAATTTTACTTGTGAAGTTTGCATTTGGATATCTGGGTTTCCAGTTCATAGCCTGTGTGATCTGGGGGGAAAATTAATAAATAATCACTAACAGCCTGATTCTCTGACCGAGAGACCTAGAAGTAGAAAACTGCAATTGAAACTCTGCTGAGCTTTCTGACATTTAACTCTGGAAGTGGTTGTCTGTATTTTTCTTCCAGATCTGTAGAACACTTAGTACGGGAGAAATCTATTAAATGACTGTGTCACGTGCAAGTGCTTTTTATTTTTAAGCATAAGTATAAAATTTCTTCCTCATCCAAAAGCAGGGCCATATATAAAATGTTCTAGGGGTGCCCTAATGAGCACTGAAGTTTCTTTAAAGTTTATTTTAAGGAAACTGATTTCTCTTGGCTTATGGTGTTTAACAAGTAAAGGTAGAAAAGCAAGGCAAGAAACGTAGATAGCTCTGATGAGCCAATACAGCTCTTGAGTCTTGGCTGGCACGGTATATCACATTCCCACCTAAAAGCTTTCTAAACATGGCTATTCTACATGTTATTGACAGTTTAATTTAATTTAGTTAATCCTGGTTGCCCTGGTTTTCCTAACACACTTGGAGCTGGAGGGTCTTCACAAGCTGTTTGGATGCCAGACTGAAAAGCCGAACTGTTGTTGCTGAAGAAAGTGTTGCACCCTCTACTTCTAACAGCTGCTAACTTTAGAGTGGTTTATGTATTTTCTCTGAATGCAATGTTTTCTAAATTAAAAAAAAAAGTAAATATAGAATGAACTCGTCATGCATCAAGATTTATTGTTTGGGTAACGAGCGACATTTTGCAAGTGTCTGTTCCTTCAGAATTGTCCTGTCAGAGATGCTTAATCAAGTGGTAGAGAATGTAACAAAAAAAAATGAAGAATCTGTTGCCAGGTTTTTGGTTCTTACACATGTGTTCAACATGTAAAACTCTCCTGCACTCTTTGTGAGGATGATGACCATTTTAAAGAATGTTCCTCTTTGCTGGAATTAAAGCTGTGGTTTAAAAATAACAGTGAGGGAAGATGAATTAGTGGGATATCTTAAAAATAAGTCTCTGCATTGGACATGATAAAATGGAGCTCACCCTTAAAATATCTGTGGACTCCACCAAGGCATTTTTCAGTGGTATTGTACTATGCTGGTGTCTTTCAGTTTGTTTTCTGAGACAGAAAGCTCTTCCACGCTGTGCTGCTGCTGGTTTTCCTGCTCTTCTCAGGGCAAGGAGACACAGGCGTGTTACTCTTAACTAAAGCCTGTGTATCTCCACAGGTATTTGTAGCAAACCCATCTCAAGTGTTTAATTGGTTATGCCAGCTTTGGAAATCAGTTCTGTGTGCTTTAAAGAGCCAAGCAGCTCTTTAATTGTGGAGCTGCCATCGCAGGCTCAAGTTCTGGACCCTGGGATCTCTCTGCAGAGCCAAACGTGTCGCGTTTCTGTGGGTCAGGGGCAGTTCAAATGGTTGTCTCCTTTTTTTTCTTCTTTTAATGGGAAGTTTCAGACTGCTTTTAAATGATGGACTAGTGTGCACCTGGGTTGTGCAGAAGTGTTGTAGCTTTAGGGGGTGGTCCATCGTGCCTTTTTAAAGTTTCCCCACACTAAAGTTATTCCCGTATTTCTGTGTCCGTATTTTTTTCCTCCTTTAAAATCAGCACGGAGTTGATTTTTGCCATGCACAGAAAGGCAGAGTTTCTGGAAACGTAGCTTTCACTCGTCCTTAGCCAGGAAAGGACTTGCTGGCAAGTTAATTTAGATGAGATTTTATTTTTTCTTTTTTTTTTTTAAAGCTCTAAATGGACTGGAGCCTGAATTCCTCTTGAATGTTAATGGGAGTGGAGGCTTAGCACCTTAGATCTTTGAGATTGCTCAAGTCCAGGGTGCTTGCTGGAGGGAAGCAAGCGAAACATGGGTATATACATGCTCGTATGGTGCCAGAAAGAGCTGATGAAAATGGGGTGTGGCCCTAATTTTACGGATAAATCGGGATTACCATACTCCATTGCAAGAAGACGGAGCGAGTGTGTGCCAGTGTCAGGATACAAATGTGTTTGAGTCGGTGGGGAGCTGTGCAGGCGTGAGGGTAAAACCCTGCAGACTGGCAAAATGAAAATGCTCTTTGCTGTCCACTTTGCTGAGGGGCTGTGCAGCTGTAGTAGCGAGCTTTGGCTTTCCTAGGGGTTGGGTGAGGAATGGGTGTAAGGGAATTCGGAGCGGCTTTGGAAACGCGTAAGTTACTGGAGCAGAATCCCGTTGTTTTCCCGGCACGCGGGGACGGCTTGTCGTGTCACGTCAGCCTGGGCACAGCAAGCTTGCAGGGCTGGGGCTCAGGTAGGACTCACCCTGGCTCACTGACACACCAGCTAAAGGCCTTAGGAATGGGAAGTTACAGTAAATGGTAGTTTTGGAATTTCTCCATGGTATGTAGAGGCAAGCCAACGTCTAAGCCAACACCGTCCTTGCTAAATCAAGTCTTGCGTAAGGCGTTGTGATATGCTCAAGTCAGACTTTCTGCTGGCAGTGCTGTAGACTGACTTTGTCCAGATAAGGCCTTGTCTTCGTTAGCAATTTAGGTCACTAACTCGGCTCTTCCTTCCAAACTGACAGATTTGCAGACAAGGACAGGTCACATTTGATGCTGTGTCAGCTGGCTGTGGCTAAACCCCAGTTCACATACTGTAACTTGTTTTTTCGGTGAAATTCTGTGCATCATGTGCCCCCAGCTTTTGAGGATGGGCTTATTATTACTGCTTATGCTGCATGGAAGTCAGCAGTGTCTGACGGCAGGTAACAGCAGAGCGTGGCTTCACATTCAATTTTTGCAGTTCACATTCTTTCTCAAGGCTCTTCCTTTGCTGTTTGCTCTGCTAACTTCTCTGGAAGCTATATAACTCATCTCCTCTCAGATTTACAGGATGTAAAACCTGTGTCATGTCTTGCCCTGAGTGTGAGGTTTTGTTGGTTGATTTTTTTTGGTTCAATCACACAAGACATCGCTGGTTTAAGAAGTTTGGCTCACTTTACTCTGTCGTTCTGACTGGACCAAATTCTGTTTGTTCTTTCTCTAGCTACATAAAATTTAAGGGTACATTTCTGTTTACATGTACAGCCAAAGGTGTGTAAATTCATTATTTTTTCCACCACGTCCCTCCATCAGCAGAGCATAGCAACACTTCCAGGCTCTACCTCTACAAATCCAGTGGCTCAGCTGAAAACAAGCTCTCACCTTGCTCATTTGTGTGGGTAGAAGTTACTGTTTCATGTTTTCAGGGCAGTGCCATAAATGCATCTTTCAGGCCCAGCACTGAGTGCCCTGATTGCTTGGAATTGTCTTCTTCCTTGAATACTTTCTGTGTTATCAATAGGAGCCTGCTTGGCAGACAGCGCCACAAATGGAGGACTGTCTGAGGATTTGCCTCGAGTTTGTTGCTGGAATTCCTTCTCAGAAGCTTATGTCAAATGACAGCCTTTTTCTCAGGATAGGGTCATATAGTGTTTCCTCAGCGTAGTTATTCTTTATTTTTGGTTCCTGTTCTTTTTCTAATGGAAAATCTGTAACAGGTGGCCACAGGCACACCAGAATTTCTTGCTTGGGAGCATAAAGGACCATATGCTGTATGGTGGCATGTATGGAGATAATAAATTGTAGGAAAAGGCAACCAGTTTATATGAAAAGTAAGAGCTGGCCTGAATTTTTGATTCAAACTTGGCTAAAGTAAAACCTTTTCTGTTATCAAAGTATGGTTTGTTTTTTTTTCTTTGTTTTGGTGTGGGGTTTTTTTTGTTTATTTTTTTGTTTTGTTTTTGCTGTTGTTGTTTTGCTGGCTACTAACTGGTTTCTGCTGGCAGTGAATTTTTTTTCGATTTGCGAAGAGGAATGCTCTGACATTTTTACCAGACACTCTGGGTGAGACCCAGGACCCTTGAAGTCAGTTGGACTTTTGCCACAGGCTTTAATGTGGCCAACGTTTCACTGCATGAGAACAGTTTTGCCTGGTTCTGGGTAGGGTATGTCAGAAAACAGCAGGAATCTTCAAGGTGAGGGTTTTGTGCGAGATTTTGGACTAAATGTTTTCTTGGTGTAAAAGTGCTCAGGAAGACAGGATAATGATTGTTTAGAATAAACTTTATTCTTTATATTCCCATATCAGCAGTGATACGGTGTTGATCTTCAGTTTCCTTTTGTTGTATGATTTGAAGGGTTTAAATTTTCTTTGGAATTACCTGTTTGTGAATGTATGAAGTAAAAATAATATAATATTGGTTGAAGCTGAATTCAGTCTGGGCTGTACAGCTCTACTCACCCAGAGATTGTACCATTTCAGCCATGAACTAGGGTCTGTTATATAAAGGATATAGACACTGAATTTCCCTGTTTTCTACTTAAATTCTGTATTCTGTGTCTTGGCCAAGATAAGATTTTGGGTGTTTGCTCTGTTTTTCAGAAGCTGCTTAATATCAGTCTTTAGTGTAAGGAAGGGAAATCTGTATTTAATGAATATATTAAATGAATATATTAAAATATATTTAATGAATATATTCAAGTACTGAACACTGACAAGAGATAACACCGTGTTTGGTCAGAACATACTCTTTACAAAGTAATTACAGATGCAGTTGGCTGTTTAAATATGTACTAGAACTGTTCAAACGAAAAAGTACAAGTGAAACTGGACTAGCTGAGATTAGTTGCCATAAACCTACCCAGTGTTTGTGGGGGTTTTTTGGTATTGTTCCCTCACACCCTATGATTGTGGGACAAATTCATTTAGCAGCTGATGATCTTGCATAGTTTTCCACTCATGCAACTGCAGTCAAAAATACTGCGAGAAGATTACTGTTAAGGTCAGAACAAAAATTAGGGAATTTATGTGCAAACAGGGTATTTTAGGTGAGTTGGGAGAAAAAACCCTCACCTTATCAAAGGATGTATATGCATTGCATACAAGGAAAACTTGAGTCACTTTCTCTCACTGTAGTGTCTGATTTAAAGAGTTTTGTAATTGCAGGCTGATAATATCTTCCTGAAATGCAGATTAATTAGATCTGTGTCTGATTATGGGCTTGCTGTTTTGAAAAACCTTTTAATTTAGAATTCTTATCCTTTGCAAATAACTCACTGCAAACCACAACTTTGTACTGTAAATAACTTCAATCCACACACAGGGCCTTGTTCTTGTCCATCAGTCCTATTATCTGGGTTTTTTACATTTAAAAAAAAGGTCAGATTTGGTGTTTTTGAAAGGAGCAAATGCTCAGAGCATCTTGTAATGACTGCCCGTGGACTGGAGGGGAGGGAAGAGAGTTGAAATGGAAAAAGAATTAGATTCCTAAGCTGTGGAAGGGGGAACATTCCTGCGCAGAGAAGCGACTCTGGAGATAAGTTTTAATTTCCTGAGCTCCAGTCCCTGTATAGGAACATTGAAAGACTTCCTTCCTGATCACCAAGTCAAGCCAGGGGCTGTATTAGCGCTGTGTGTCTGTCTGTAATTGCGTGCTCGTGTCTGCATTTGCATAACTGCAGCATCACTGCAAGCACCTGCAGGGATGGGAGGCAGCTTTTACCCTGTGCTGCCTCTGTTCAAGGTGTGTAATAGACCTATTTAGATTTCTCTAGAGGATCTCTTTCGTACTTTGTCTCTAGTTAAAAAACAAAGCCCAACCAAAACCAAAAATGAGAAAAGCACCCTCCCCAGCCACTTGCCCTGCGACTGTTTCTGTCTTTCTGAAGTCTCAGGGGTCTGTGATTACTCAGGCAAAACCATGAAGCTCACACTGAGTGATGTCCTAGTAAGCATTTATTAGTATTTTTATTTACTAGTATTTTTAGTAGCAAATATTAGGAGAACTTCCCTGAAACGTTTGCTTGTTTACAGAAGGCACTAAGCACTTCCAAAAAAAGTGCAGGTTACCCCAAATTCCGCATTTTGCAAAAATATCTTTACAGCCTCAGACTGTTTCATTTTAGCAATTCTAGTTTCTAGTAAAACTGCTTTATTTTGCCATTTCTGTATTTTTGTTTATTTATTTTTATTAGTGAATCCCAGCAGTTCTCCCATAAGTCTAAGCAATATTGTGCTAAACTGAGCCACGGTATAACTTGCTTTGTGCAGCACAGATTTACTGGAATTCCAGGCCTTTGCCTGGATATCCCCAACTGAAACAAAATTATATACGTCCCTCACTGCATTTTGTGCAACAGCATCTGAATTAATGGTATCACTGAGCTGTTTTACATTTATCAGCTTACCCACTGGAATGTCAGATACGTTGCTTAAGTTGCTGTGAGCCTTAAGTGGAATAGGTTTTAATTCCACTTGTCAATAGCTCTTTCTTGCAGTTATTTTTTTAAAATAACCATTCATAATTAAGACTTCGCTCCGGAGCATTTTATACTGCAGTGAGAGAATTTGTATCGGATTGTGTGAATTTAGAAAGCACCGAATTTAAATGTATTGATGGTACACAAGGTCAGAAAACGACTTTTGATTATTTTAAAATCGTACAAGCATACTTATTGTAAAAATGAAACTTTATAGACTGTGTAGTTGTTTAACTTTTTCTATAGAACTACTTTGGAAAAAGGGTAAAAAAAGCCATAAACTTAAAGAGATTCTGATGGCGCTAGAGTGTTGCCAAGCTAACCATTAAAGATAAGTCAAACTGTAATTCTGTAGGAATGCTTCTGCATATGGACTGTAGTTGTTTTTGGGTTCCTGAAAGTGCTTGTGTGTAAAGTCAGCTGTGGAAATGGCTGGCTAGCTAAAAGCTAGGATTCCTGCAGCTTGACTGTTGTGGGGAGAGGGTTTTTTTTTTTTTTCTGTGAAAACAGTTGTAAAGTGGAACATCTGAAAAATATGTTCCATGCAAAATGGATCTTCACACACATTTATTTTGACATTTAGGTTTGATTTGAGAGAGAGAGAGAGAAGATTCTGAAATAGCCATTCACAGATGGCTTGTGAGGGTTTTACTTTTTTGTATGCTTCTCTGTGTTTTTGGTTTGGGGTGGATTTTTCTGCATGTGTTTGTGGACTTGTCAATCCCCCTCTTCCCCCAGATCACATGTTTAATTTTTTGTGACTTAAATTTTTTTACCTTTTTTTCCAAAAGCTGGTGTTAAAAAAAAAAAATGGAAAAGGAAAAGAAACCCTTCCCACCACAACCTCAAAACAGCAACAAACCACCCCAAACCAACCAAAAAACTAAGCTCTCAAACCCCTGACCAAGTCCCGGTCATGACCCCAAGGTACAACTTCTGTGATAAATATTCTGTTGTCAGTGAGTGAAAACTTACGCATTTTGTGGAGTTGCATAATAGAGTAGAAAATTTTTCAGGAAGCAGGAAACTCTCCCACCTTCACAGCTTCAGCAGTAAGTGTGGGGAATCCAGAGGGCCCTGAAAGCTCAGTTGGAGGAGTGTGCCTGGAGAAACCTGGTGCTTGCCCAGCTGGATATGTGAAGTGCAGATGCTGTGTATCTGGCCACCCTTCCACAGAGCTGGGCTTGACCTCTGTAGCCTTTATTGATGGAATATTCTCTCCAGGTGGGAGTCAGGAGGGAGCTGTTAGCTGTCTGCTTTCTTTTGAAAGTATTGAGTGAAAGCTGGTGCTGATAAATTGTGGTTGTGAAACATGCCTGAGAAGCGGGTCCATCTGTGTGAGAGGAATGGAGACTCTTAAGTGGGCACTGGAATTCTCTTCTTTGTGAAATGCCAGTGTGAGGTATCCTGGAAGTCCAAATTTAATTACAAAGTGAATATTACATTATTCAGTGCAGTCAGTTATTTTTTTTGTTAAGGAAACCATATGTTGAGCTTCCACTGAGTGCTATCACTGATACATCTCTTGTTTGTTTTGTTTCTAATCCCAGAAGAAGTTAGCTGTGTACAACAAGATGCAGGAGTCTCTGGAAGTGACCCTTCCCAGCAAGCAGGAGGAGGATGAGAAAGACCAGCCTGCCGAGATGGAGTACCTGAACTCTCGCTGTGTCCTGTTCACTTACTTCCAGGGAGACATTGGTTCAGTGGTGGATGAACACTTCTCGAGAGCTTTGAGCCAAGCCAGTAGCTTCAATTCAGAGACTGCCCTTTCCAAGAGCAAGGCAGGGCTGAATCCTCTGTGGAGAGGTAAGAGGGGGCAGGAGCTCGCTCTCCGTGGCGTGGCTGACTCAGGCTGCATTGCAGTAACACACATTGCATTGCAGCTGAAATTCCACTTCTCTGTGGAAGTGGAAAAATCCCCCTAGAATCTCCAAGGACTGAGGAGCTTCTTGGGTTGAGTGATCTGAGGTGTTAAAGGGGGAGAGAGCAGCCAAAGGCATGGAAGGAGCAGGGGTCTCCCGCTCCTGCCATATCCTGTCTCTGCCAGGGGCTGGGTGGGAGGGGGCTCAACGTGGCTTCACAAACGTCTGCTGCGAGGTTGGAGGCTTTTTTTTTATTAGCTCCAAGTGTGAAACTTGGCCTGAGAGGCCAGAGCAAAGCTGTTTGGGGTGCTGGCCTTGGACATGAAGGAAACCTATGCAGCCTTTTCAGTGACTTTGCCAGGTGATCAGGATTTGTCCACGGCTGCTTTCCAGGTGGTGAGGAGCCAGCACAGGATGGAATAGGCTGGGGGGCAAGCCCTGGCTCCTGTGGCTGCAGCCATGTGCTGTTTTCCATTGCAGCTTTGCTTGTGGGAGAGGTACAGACGATGTTACGGCTTGCTGAGTGTAAAATGGGCATGACATTGCCCTGCCTCCATGCAGGGAGGAGAAATGTGGTAGGTTCTGCAAGCCATTTCCTCACTCTCCTAACACTTACCCCTTGTTATGCCTATATACCTTTTATGTATTGGTGTGACAAAGAGCAGATCTTGCCAGAGACACTCGGTAGCCCTTACAGACAAGACTTCCAAACTGGAAAAAGTGTGGCAGTAAGTTGCTTTTTCCATTTTGCTGGATGTGGCAGTCTGGGTGTTCTTTAAGATCCCCACAGCTGCATTATTTCTGATCACATCCTTATGTGGACTGGCAGAGGGGTGCAACCTAAGCATGGTGAGCAGTGGCCTTACACTGGGCTGGTGAGAGAGGTGCTGGTGGGACCTGAGCAGGAGCAGTGGTGTTCCCAATCAGCAATGTGGAGGCATTGATGAAAGCCACAGATACTAAAGAGAGACAGGATATTTGAAAAGCAACTGTGAAGAGAAAAATAGCACAAAAAGACTTGCTTTCCAGAAGGATGATGACAAATCCGAGGAAGTTTAAGCAAAGGTCAGCACAAGTGGCTGGGGAGCTAGAGGAATTTATGGCTTGAGCTGGGACCATTAACGTTAATGGGAAGTTTTCTGTTGACTCGACTGAGAGCAGGATTGAACCTATTCTTACTAAAAAGGAGACTGGAGCATTTATAAATGGCCCAGACAGGCTATAAATGTTTTAGCAATGGGATCAAGGCGGTCCCCAGAGAGACCCCATGCCCACAGCAAGCCCTCTTCAGCGAGCTTGGGGATGTTCTGTGGGTGGGGTCGCGTGTCTTCCCTTTGGCCTCAGACATACCCTGTTGTTTTTCCCTGTCCCCCCTCTGTGGTTCCACAGCCATCCCCAGAGGGCTCTGCAGGGGACATGGGTGGCCTGGTGTGAGGGTTCTCCAGCCACGCTGCCTCCTGACCCCGTGTGCCCCGTGTCCTCAGTGCGGAATGGAGGTTGGTGTGCCCTGAACATCTTCTGGGAATAAAGTAAGGAGATCCACCCTGTGCCATCCCTGCACCTGCTGAGGGGGTGTGAAAATCCCTGGGGAGCCTCTGGGAGCTGAGGGCATGTGCTGCTCCAGAGGAGAGAAGCTGACATGAGCTTTATCAGGCCCAAATGGGTTTCTGAGATATTCTGTTTGAATACAATGGGGAAGGACCAACACTGACATCTTGGTCTTGTGGTTTATGCACAGTATCAAAGATGCTTGGTTACAGCACATGAATGTGAGTTTGTATCCCATTACCTAAAGAAGTTAAAGCATGATTAACTTGAAGTTCTTCCATAAATAACCTTGGGTAGTCTGAATTTCTGTGAATTACTTAGTTACTTGGAGATACTTTAGGAAGAAAAAAAGCTTTTTGCAATAGCTGTTTTGAGAGGAACTGGTTTCAGTGTAAAGTGTGTGAGCATGAACTGGCTCCCCAGCTCACTTAATTTTCTCCTTTATCTGAAAGGAGGGATTAGCAATGTTTTTGACTTTTTTTAATCTTTTTTTTTCATTATTTTCTTTCTTCCTTTTTTTTTATAAGGTGTTCTGATGAAAACACAAACTCTGATTTTATCGTTAAGGTGATATTGCAGGTGATTTTTTTAGTTTGTTTTGAGGAAGGAATTTACTTACATATAAAAATTAGAACTTATTGTTCTGATAAAAACCTGTTTTCATCATTTTTATGTTGAAACTACTGATCAAGTTAGGCTAAAATTATTTTGAAGCTGATTTTTTTTATAAAATACAATTCCCTACAACAGGCTCGAGTAATGTGAATATTCAATTTTAGGGGTAGCTGCCTGAAATATTTTGCGGGTGCTAGTGATACCTTGACATTAATATTAGTTTAATGGCATTTTTATCAACATGTTTTTTCCTTGATGAAAGCGTTGGGTTGTTTTTCTAGCTTACTTTTCTTCCCTCTTGCCTTAAGTGAGAGCTGATGTTGTAGTATAGAAAGATCCATGCGTTGTCTCCTTCCCAGCGTGTGCACTTCTGGCGTGTTTTCAGTGTGTGTTATGAACATTTGGGTTGGCCACCATGGCATTTGCACCAGCCACAACTCCGTGGTCTCTGGGAAGTTGCCTTGTCCCTGCCTCCCTGTACTTAGGGTAGGAAGTTGTGGTAACTGTAGCATCTTTATTGGCAGACAGTTTTTGTTAAATGCCTCCTGAAAGGCCATGGAAGCACAGAGGTATTTTTTTTTTTAATCATTATTATTATTTTTATTTTTTTTTCTTTCCCAAGGGCAGTGTAGAAGTGGCTATTTCTCCCTGTTCCACAGAGGCCAGATATCCCTGAGTGCTCGGGGTGGGTGGAATTTTCCTGCATGTTTGTATAACCTGGATGGAACCTGCGTGTCCAGTGACAGGACTGACCTTTCCAGCGAGGGTGGTGTCACGGGCTGGCCCCTGACAGTGTCAGGCAGCAGCGATGGCTTTGTGAAACCTGCACAGGTTTGAAAAACGGAGATGGCCAAAGGTTTTCCATGGCCTAGACCTCCTGCATGACTGGCAAAGCCAAGCTGTTATGCAATCTGGGATGAATTCAGGCTGGCAGATCCAGTGGTTTAAAGTGCTCTCTCCTGTTACTGAAGCTGTCCTGCGGATACTTTGTGGTTTTTCTGTGCCTTTTTGAAGTGCAGCGCTTTGGATTTAGGGCTTTTCCGTGCAGATAACAGCCAGATAGTTTTCAAAAACTCAATTACAGAGGTTAATTTTCCAGAATACTGGCAGAGCATTGTCAAGCTGTGCTCCTCTGTTAAGTAGTGTGAAAAACAACAGACTGGACATGAAGTTTGGCTGGTTTTTTTTTTCGTGTCAGCCCTGCTGCCAACAGCACAATCCATACATGTTCTCCACCTCAGTGTAATCCCTTATTACAAGGAATGGTTTACAAACAAGGAATAATACCAATTTTGGAGGAGTGCTGAGGCTTCTGTAATATGCTTGAAGCTCTCTCCAGTCTTCAAGCATGAATTGCAATAGAAATCCATTGCTAAGAACTACCCAACCTTTTGAAGAAAAACCATGTTGGGATGCATTTGCCAGATAAGTTTGCAGCCTCTGAAGCATTTTGGCACAAAGCATCCACAACGTTTGTCCATGGTATGTTTGCAAAGTTTGCTTCCAATATCAGAAGTTAATCAGACTCAATAAGCTGCCTAAATCAAAGCCAATTGATGTATGGAAAAATTTCTGTGATTTTAATGCATTTTAAAACAGAGACACGAGTGTGACGCAGTCAGAAAATACTTTCGAGTTTTTTGCTTCCAAAATATTTTTGTATAAGCAAAGTTCAGAGGCAGGAGTGTTTGAAGAATGTGTTCATTCTCAATGGTGTCTTCACCCAAGTCTCATTCCAGCTGCTTATTAAACAAAGCAAAACAAAAGGTGATTTAAAGAAAAAAAAGCACTTTTACAAAAGTTATGAGGAACAGAGGATTCCTGGCCTCATCAAATATTAAACTTCCCTGGCTTTATTTCTCCATAGGCTATTTTTATGACTGTTCTTTCATCAGAGGTGAAGTTCTGTATTTTTATGTTTCCATCTTTGACCAAAAAAAATGCTGTTGGAGCTGAGACATATTGCATGAAGCAGTACTTTCTAGCATGAGCTGGCAAGAGGTTTGTGAGAATGGAGAAGCCAAGACTTTGCTACACATCAAAAACACTAACTGCTCCTTCAAAAGAGGAATTTTTAGAATGTGATTTCATAATGTAGAGGTATTGGAATCCATTTAAATATGAGCTGAGCCCTAGCTGAAAGAAGCAGCTTTTAGTTCTGACAAAAACCTTGCTGAGCTACATAGATGGTTCTTGCTTGTATGATCCTGTTGGGAGAGGGCATCATAATTTATTCTATAAAGGACTTGCATAAGCTGTGTTAGATACAACCTTTATCCCATCAAAGCATGCAAAATCAGGGATTCTTCTAGCCAAATGTTTCCTGTTCTGCAGTGTGAGCTGGTTCTCTTTCCTCAGAAGCATTTGCAACCTTTCTGACTGATGTGCTGTAGTCTGGGCAGGAGTTAGCCTCTCCTCACAATTTTTGTACCAAGATCCTGAGAGGGCTCTGACTCTACAGCCTGAAGAAGAAAAATCTTCTTGGGGTGGGGGGAAATCCAATGTATATAAAATCCTGATGGGAGGGAATGAAGATCGGGGAGCCAGGCTCCCTTCAGCAATGCTTGCTCACAGAGCAGGAGGCAATAGGCAGAGAGATTAGAAAACAGGAAATTCCATCTGAATACAAGAAAACTTTTTGTTTTGTTGAGTTTTTTAGGTCGGTTGTTGTTTTGGGGGACTTTTTTGGAGAGGCTGTGGAGTCTGGAACTCACTTAAAATCTGACTGGACATGGTCCTGGACATCTGCTCCAGGTGACCCCTCTGGAGCAGGGAAATTGGAGTAGACAATCCTCCTACCTCAAATGTGCTGTGATTCTGTACTTACTGAGGAAGCTTGAGTTCAGCGTTACAAACTTCAGAGAGTGGCAAATCGTCGCGGGGTCTTTGTCACGAAACGCGTGGTTCAGCTTCGCTCACACTTCACTTCTTTCCTCCCCACCAGAAAGCTCAGCAATTTCAAGCCAAAGGAGCGGATTCCCAACCTCGTTTTGGACCAGCTCTTACCAGCCTCCTCCTCCTCCTCCCTGCTTGAGCGGAGTGCACCCCGATTTTCCCGTGACCGCACCAGGCACCTTCCCGGCAGCAGACGCCAGCGGCTGGCCGGGACACGGCCTCCACCAGAGCGCCGGCCCGGCCGCCCCCGCCGCCTCCGAGCCCTGGCACTACCCCTTAGCGTCTCAGGTGAGCCCCTCGTACGCACACATGCACGAGGTGTACGTGCACCACCCCCATGTGCACCCCCAGCACCCCGGGCAGCCCCGGGACCCCCGCTACGGCTCGCTGCTGGTGCCCTCGCTGCGTGCGGCCCGGATCCCCGGCCCGCAGCAAGGCGGCAAGGCCGACCCCGCCGCGGGCAGCGGCGCTACCTCAGCCTGGGCCGGAGCCTTCCACGGAACGGTGGACATCGTGCCGACTTTTGGCTTTGATACAGGTGAGATGCTTTCATTTGGGGTGTGTGGTTTTGTTTTGTTTTGTTTTTTTGGGGTTTATTTTGGGTTTTTTTGGGGCTTTCTTTGACTTTTTTGGGTTTTTTTTTGGTGTGTTTTTGGGTTTTTTCTGTTTGTTTTTTTTAGGTTTTGGGGGTTTTTTTAATTCTTTGGGTGAATCTTTGGGTGTTTTTTGGGGGGCTATCTTTGATTTTTTTGTGTTTTTTTGGTGTGTTTTTGGTTTTTTTCTGTTTGTTGTTTTGGGGTTTTTGTGGGTTTTGTTTTTTTGTTGTTTTTTGGGTTTTGGGGGTTTTTTTGTGATCTTTTTGTTTTGTTTTTCTTTGGGTTCTTTTGTTGTTCTGGGGTTTTTAGATTTTTTGGGGGTTTTTTTGGAGGTCTTTGGGTTTTCTTTGGGTTTCTTTGGTGTTTTTTTTTATTTTGGGGGGTTTTTTGAGGATTTTTTTGGGGTTTTTTTGGAGGTCTTTGGGTTTTCTTTGGGTTTCTTTGGTGCTTTTTTTTATTTTGGGGGTTTTTTTGAGGATTTTTTTGGGGTTTTTTTTTGAGGTTTTTTAGGGTTTTTTGTTGTTTTACTATTTTTTGTTTGTTTGTTTGGGGTTTTTGTTTGTTTGTTTGTTTTCTGTGACTTGTTTGAGCAGAGATGTGAGCTCCTTGCAGCGTCCAAATGGGGGAATCCCTCCTGTAATTGCTGTCAGGGCAGCTCTCCCTGCCTTCTGCTGAGAGACCTTTATCTGCCTTGGTCCCATCAAGACAGATGAGTTGTGACATGGTCTGTGTTGTTTCTTTTTAAGTCTTGTGGGAAAATATTAATTATGCTTCCATGGGGAAGTTTTCAGCTTGTTCAGCTCGTTCATATGTGCATCCACCAATAAACAGCTCCAATAAACTAATAACTTGGAGTACATGAGGACTGCATCTTGAGGTGGAGCAGCTCAGCATTTCCTTCCTGTGTAGCATCCAGATATCACATGGAGAATAGAGGTGCTGATTGAGCTGTGCTTGCCATCAAACTAAACATCTTTCTGTAGGGTTTAGGCAGAGGTGTGTGGATTAAATCCACTTCACTGCAGGGTCTGAACTGCAGACCATGAACTCCATCTGTCTGTGAGCTTTGAGTGGCAGTCTCTTGTGTCAGTATCAGAAGCAGTCTGGCAGCCCTCAGGATCTGAAGCTTCTTGACAGTTCCCAGTGCATCCATCCTGGCCCCACTGAGGGCTCCTTTTTCAGTCTGATATTTATCTCACCAGCAGCAATCCTTGCAGATTAGTACTTCGTAAAGACAGTGTGTTACCTGATTAAGGAAACATTGGGTTTGTATCTTTGTTCCCTTTTCCTTAAGGTATCTATTTTTCTCCCTTTTTGGTAGCTCTCTCTGACTGGTTCAATGCGTGGAAGCACTTCTTTGCCTTCATAAGTGAGCAGGGGAACAAAGAGTGGGTGGGGGAAGAAAGGCTGTTTCTTAAAGATGAAATACTATGAACCTATTAGAAAGCTCTGTCTGTTCCCCTTAAAGCAACTGGGAACCAGTAATCTCTAAATACTATGCCACTTGCTGTCTTGATGTCAATAAAACTAAGAGAAAGCTTATCAGGATTCTTAACACTGGACAATTTATATATATAAATAACACTTCCAGCTAAACCAGCAATACAAGAATAATTATATTTTACACTTCTGGGTACAAAATGATAAACTGACTGGGATATTGAGATTTTCCTGTGTGACAAGCTGCATTAGGGGAGTGAGCTGCCTTGTCTGAGGCAGGAGCAGACTGTGACTGCCCCTGGTGTAAGGGACAAGCCCTCCTGGACCCAGCCCTAGCAGTCCACCTGCAGGGCCTTGTATTTGGGTAACCTTTTGGGGATGGAACAAGAACTGTGTGAGGAATTGTTAGTCAGGAGAAACCACTGCCTGGCTCAGGTACAAGTCCAGCCTAGACTGTGAGTTGTTTTTCTCTTTAAGAGCAAGTACTTCAAAAAAGGACTGGGTGATAGCACTGCCCTAGAGAACAAACACAGCTTTGGCTTGGTGCTGCCTGCTCCTTATGAAAATCCCTGTGGAGGGGTACAGTTGGGTGCTAATTTTGTCAGGATCCTTGCATGTTTTTGGTTGCTCAGTGTGGGAGGCAGTGGAAAAGATCTGAACTGTTAACTTCTGACCCATGCTTGATTTGTGTGGGTTTTAGTCTAAGAGTTCCTGTGGGGAAGAAGAAAGAGGGGAAATGTGTGACTGGTTTGAAGAAACAGAGAATCTCAGCAGACCAGTGTCTCTCTAGTTTGAGGCTATTCAAAAGGGTCACATACTGAAACACAACAGCAGAGCCCTGTTAGGCAGCCCCAGTTTTCTAAACAAGGGTGCAGGCAATGAAGCACAGCAGGAACACAGAAACCTGTGACATTACAATTATTTTTTCTCTTCCCCTGCACACTCATCTCACATGTGCTTTCCAAGGTGGGAAGGGCAGGGAAGGCTGAGCTCCCTGTTAGCCTTGCTGCAGCTTGTGCAGTTGAGACAAATGCTTTGGTTACAGGCACTCCAGGCCTGGAGAGAAGAGGGAGCTGAGTTGCCTCAGGGTTTTGTGTGCACATCCCAGGGAAGGTTTGGGGAGAGGAGGGGGCTGCTCAAGTACCACGTGGAGTCACATCCAGGACTTGCTTCATGTGCAGTCCCAGGGAAAGCAGGTTATACTGGACAAATCTCCACATCACACAGCATTTCATTACATTTAACTCTAGTGTCAAACTGCTATCTCAGCAGAGAGGCTACAAACTCAAGGGCCTGGAAAACTGAGCTGGCTTTTAGTGACATAAAGTGCTTTCTCCAGAGTAGGGTAAGGCCATAGTGGCAAGAATGTCAGTTCTGGAAGTGTTTGCTCATATATCCCTGGAGAAAATAACCTGTGGAGCTGTCAATATATCAGATTCCATGAAATTCAGGTGGTTTTTATGTTAAAAAAGTTCATTTGGTCTATACCTGGACACTGCCTTTTGGAATCCTTGACTTACAAACTGATTCCCCCTTTTCTTACCATGGGTCACGTTTCTTGTGCTACTGTCACATGGAATTATAGGAACATTAGCAAAATTCCTCACGCTGAATTATGTGGAATGGCGGTGTTGGGATCAGGGCAGGCTGGCTGTAATCTTACCCTCTTCCAGCTACATTGTTGAATCCCTGCCATGCCAAGCCAAATAATCCATCTCAGGAATGGATGATGCTGAATCACTTCACAGGTTGGGAGGAGGTTTCCACTGCATGCACGGTGCAGTTTGGGAATTTGTGTTTCTCGGAGTGTGGGACCTCAGCACCGTGCCCTTCGCAGAGCTGACAAACTATTGATCTCTCTTGCACATCTGTTTGGATTTACATGGTCCTGTTCTAGGGGATGAAGAAGGATTTAGCTACCTGATTGCCATTAAATGTGGCTTAATCCTCACGTTGTAGACTGCAAATTAACCCTTTTAGATGCTTCTGTATCGGTACAAGTGGGATTAGATAAAATGCTGGTCTGCATCAAGAGCTGTTTAAAGCTGCTAGGTTTTGTCTGCTGGTGTGTAGTGTCCTTCCAAAAGCTACAATGCTTAATAGAGGAGTACATTTCATGTCAACCATTGATACAAACACATTGGAATAAGCACAGATTGTTTGGATTTAGGCCTCAGTTCCTTGCCCTGCTGGTGCCAAGCAAAGCAAGGTCAGGCTGTCCCCAGCGTGGCCTGCAGCTCAGCTGTAATCCAGTGTCAGCACTGCTTACACTGAGGATGCACAAGCCACATCCAGCGCTTAAAATCATGTGTTGGGAAGGCAAATTTGTGTCTTGCAGTGTTGCTGGTGGTTATAGCCATCAGTGCTTTCCTTGGGAGCAGGGAGGGAGGTGCCCTGCACACCAGGCCCTTCAGGTGAGCAGTGGGATCCAGCTGTGCTGGCAGCCCCTGGGGAGGAGAGCAGAGCAGCTTGCCTTGCTGCAGGAAGATCTCCTGTCCTGCTGACAGACAGATGTGCTGGAGGAGGCTTCCTGCAGCCCCAGCACACTAAAAGCAAAGCAGGACTTCGGCATCAGTGACGGCTGTAAATCTGTTAAAACTGAGGTGCACATTCTTTATCCTGAGGTGAATAGCTTCAAATTTAGGGTTAACCAACCAAGAATTAACCAACATCCTTCAGTCCTGGTTTACTGTGGAAAATCCCCTTTTGGAAATGCCTGTGTGTCAGTGTGATACATTGAGTTTGGAGCTTGAGGGGCCAATCTGATCCTTTCTGTATGTTTGTTCACACACACCCCACAAATTTGCCACAAAAACACCCCCCCCCCC